ATTGGCTCTTATAAAATCACATTTTAAGAAAAGGCAAAATTTCCCTGATCAAATGAAAATATTTGAGATAGACCAGTAATTATTAATTCAAAGGGACTAGGTTTATTTCCATGTTTGGCACAATAACAAAGGGCTAATGGAAAGGTTGTAGTTTTTAGTTTGAAAATTGAACAAACCTTACCTTGCTGCATTATAGCAAGCTATTGTGTCTTAGTTCAAATTCTGTTTCCTAGCAGGTTGATATGGACTAAAGGGATTAATAGATATAACAAGGTAACAATTCACAATGAAGGAAAGATAGGAAAACAGGCATTAAAAGAAGGTAGTTTACTAATGCGTCTGCCACAGAAATTAATGGGGAAATGGCATATTTGCTGAAATACAGAGGGGACTTCAAATTTGTTAAAAGGCAGACACTGAGTCTTACGTTGAATCATTTTCCTTATTTAGGTATTCAGTGCAGAGTGACTGACTGCATTTTTTGCATGGTGTTTGTCCTGCACAAAGTTCTTCCTTTATTATAATGAGAAATAGTCTCTAGTCAGTTTGATGCTGTTAAAAAGGACTTGTGCTCAGGATGGCAGTGTTAATCCCCAGAGCTGCCAGTGTAGTCTGAAAGTAGGGACAAAAGGATTTAAAGATGGGAGCAGGGGTATAAATAATTCTGGACCCTGCTTCTATATTGCTACAGAGTCCTAAATGAGGAGGAGTTGTTCCTTTAGAAACTATCGTCTTGCAGTTGAACACATACTGGAGGTTTCTAATTTAAATTTATGCTTTTGGATAAAATGGATTAGAGAGATTTGAATTGCTACAGGCTAAAGAGGAACAACAGATGTAACTTGATTCTGAGGAACTTTGTTTGAAAGAAATTTCCGTGCAAAATGACTGGAGTAAGGAAAAAAAAGAGAATGACTGTCCATTCAGAGACTACCTTCTGCGTACCAGGTCCTATGGTAGATGCTTTTCTTTCATTGTCTCCTTCAAGCCTTATCTTTTCAGATGAGGAAATTGAGGCTCAGAGAGGTTAAATGACTTACCCAAATATCACACAACAGTGAGTTAGAGGATGGGTTCTTTCTGATGCCCAAACCTACTAGACTACTAGAGATGTTCCTTGGTGGTTAGGTGGCTGACATCCCAGGAGTCTTATTTTTTTTTTGCTGAAGAAGATTCTCCCAGAGCTAACATCTGTGCCAGTCTTCCTCTATTTTGTATGTGAGTGGCCACCACAGCATGGCTGATGAGTGGTGTAGGTCCACACCCCGAATCTGAACCCACCAACCTGGGCCACTGAAGCAGAGTGCACTGAACTTAAAGCTATGCCATGGGGCCAGCACCCCCAGAAGTTTAATTTAAGAGCAAGTTTCTTATAGGTCTGGCTTGTTACTTCCTCCCACATTGTCTTGGAATCCAGGATTTAAGGTACTGCCTGTGGAACTGAATGTGCCAACACATTTTACTTGACGTTTTGGAAGGCCAGCCCCTTGCCTAGAGCTCATCTCAAAATTGTAGCTGCTCTTGGGATTTTGATGTAACATGAAGACTATGTTGTTGTTTTTTTCTCCCTATGCTGTATTTTAACAGCAGTGAATGGGGTCCAGGGTGTAATCTACTTAACTGACAGATTTCTCAGCCGTTTTATAGCAGGTTCTCTAGTATCTTTATCCTCATGACCATAGTCAGAAACTTGTTTTTATTTATTTAAACATGATTGTGGGAGAAGTAATTACAGTAAGCTTTTGACTACGCTGAAACAAATCTTACCTATACCTGAAAAGCTGGTTGTGAGGAGGGTTGTAAGTGGTAATGTTAGTTTTTCTGTACATCAGTTTACATCTTTTCCCAAAGGAAGGTGAAAACTGTTTGAACTGTGACTACTCTTTAGCTGACAGGTGTTAACAACTTGTGGTTACTCGTAAGCCTAGATAGATTCAAACTATTGACTTTGAGTTGAAGTATATTGTAATTTGGCTTATTCTTTCACCAGGAAATACACTGATTATTAATTTCAGGAATTTCAGTTATCCCTTTTGTTGAAGAGTTTATTGCTCATTAAAATATCGGGGACTTGTTTTTTTGGTAACCAACAGGACCGCAAATTGGTCTCTACTCTGGTTGTGCCAAATCCATGTGTAAACTGGGAGAAATCTGATTAATTGTGTAAAGAAAGGCTTGTCTAGAGAAAGAGCATCCTTTCTGACTTCTTTCAGAGGTTTATCTCTTCCACCAGAGGGATGGGGAAGCAGGAGGGTGAATCTGAGGCTGAACATAGCAGGTGGCGTGTTGTGTGTGTGTACTTGTATCTGTAAATATCACATCACTGTTTATAGTACACTGGACTCTCTTCATGTAAGGCCTAGTCAGGCCAAATCAGGAGGAATTGTTCCCGAGCTTAAAGCCAAGAATAACATCCTGAGCAGCAGGGGACAGAGGTCAGCTCAAGGCAACAGCTCTTGGGGGCTGTAGGACATTGAGAACCTTGAAGGAACTGAATTTAATAAGAAGGGAGCATGGAGCTGGCCTGGTGGCACAGCGGTTAAGTTCACACGGTCTGCTTCTCGGCAGCCCAGGGTTTGCCGGTTCGGATCCTGGGTGCAGACATGGCACCGCTTGGCAAAAGCTATGCTGTGGTAGGCATCCCATATATAAAGTAGAGGAAGATGGGCATGGATGTTAGCTCAGGGCCAGTCTTCCTCAGCAAAAAGAGGAGGATTGTCAGCAGTTAGCTCAGGGCTAATCTTCCTCAAAAAGAAAAAAAAGAAGGGAGCCAATATGTACTTTGAAGGTAGTATGTGAAACCTGCATGTCTCTTAATTGGGGCATGTCTTATTTATGCGAAATGAAAAATCATCTTAACAGTTGGATATTTGATGAGTTCATATCACCTCCTGGTCATTTAACTATATTTTCCCCTCATGCCTGCATTTTGATTTGTCTGTTTGTTGTTTGCGTTAGAAAAAGGGGAAAAGTGTGTTCTGTTCTTCTAGTGTTTTATTCTACAAGCAGCTTCAGAGAAGCCCAGGAGAGGGCTGGATTTAAGAGATCATATGTTAATTTAAAAAACAAATACCCTTTACAAAATCTGAGGACCTTCCGGACTGGCTGAAGTTTTGTTTCTGGGATCTTTCTGTGCTCACTTCTCTTCTTTTCCCTTCCATCTTTCCTCATTCTGTTGCTGGCCACTCACTCCACAGAGGCAACTCAGACTGTTTTCTAGTGGAGCATTCCAGTTTGTCCTGTTGTCTTCTCTGGAACTCATTTCTCTGGTCTGACTTCAGTTGGTTTTGGGCCAGAATGATTGTCTGAAAGCTTTTCTTCATGGCCTTTATTTCTTGGCTCTTTTAGTGCACTTTGCCTGATTGTTTTTGCTGGTTCTCTCCTTTTCTGGTGGTGTAAGTTATACTGCCTCCATTGGAAGGTTCTAAAGCTCAGGTGCAACCTCAGGCCTGTTAGATTTTACTCTGGTTTATAAGTGCCTTTTTCCTTTCGTAGAAATTGGAAGATGAATCAGGTGCTCTGTCCTGAGATATTGCCGACTCTTCTGGGACTCTAGTTTACTAGTTGTTTAAACACATATGTAGCAATTTGAATTGTACTTGTCAGATAGGACTTGTTGCCAAGCCTCTGAAGTAGGTCATTGCTGTTTTCTCCTTTTCTTTTTCAGTAGAAAACTAGAGATGAAGAGAGAATTACCTTGTCCGTGGTCAGATAGTAGGTTGGTCTTACATCTTTTGAAGCAAACATCATTTTTGTATTATACTTCTTAGCACAGATATTAACAAATAGTTAATAAATACGTCTTAACTGTGAGTTGATTGATTGATTGATCAGTTACATTTCAGAATTCTCATCAGGTTGATCACATTTTGGACCAACATGTGAGTAAAGTTTCTAGATGGAAGGAACCTAATAGCCGTGCAGAAAGTACTTAGCAATTTAGAATATGCGTGAAAAAAATCCCAATGTAAATCTTGTTCTAAAATGAGGAAACAATGGGGGTAGTTTGGCTAGAGCAGAAACTGGTTATAAATGTAAGGAAGAATAGGGTGAGAGAGGGTGAAAGAACATGGGTTAATCAAGAGAGAGGAATAATTCCAGAAATGGACATCTTGCCAGCTTGGGATCAGACAGTGAAAATGAAAATTTCCCACCCTTCCCCCAATGTTAGGCTCTCTACTCCTCTCAAACCACTATCCAGAGGGGCCGTTAATGACTGTCCGGGCACTAGTATCCGGTTTTTGGGTCTTTCCGCTGCCATGTGAAGCATGAGGAAGTCCTGTGGGATCAGTCTTTAGAAAAAACAGTTGGCCTTTTGATTTGTTAAATTCATCCTAATAGTTTTGCCTCTCTCAAGTAGTACTGCTAATGCCAAAGCCAAAACCATTTTCTTTATGGTTTCTTTATGGAGGAAGATTAGCCCTGAGCTAACATCCACCGCCATCTGCCTATTTTTGCTGAGGAAAATTGGCCCTAGGCTAACATCTGTGCCCATCTCCCTCTACTTTATATGTGGGATGACTGCCACAGCATGGCTTGATAAGCGGTCTGTTGGTCCACACCCGGGATCCGAACCGGCGAACCCTGGGCCACCCAAGTGGAGTGTGCGAACCCAACCAATATGCCACCAGGCCGGTCCCCCATACACCTTTTTTTTTCAACCTTAAAAAATCAAACTCTGCTGTTTTTTTGTTTTGGGGCCAGTAATTTGCATCTCATTTGAGAGCCTTGGTTTCTCCCCTCATTATTTCTTCATGTATCCCTGTGCTAAGTCCTGCTCTCTGAACCTGTCTCTGGCTTCTGGCCTCATTGAGTTTTATGAATTTTAACTATGTATTTCGGGTTTCAGACCTGTTCCCAACTCTTGTCTTCCTCTGCTCCCTGTAGTAACTTTGGGTTGAGACTTGCTTGGGGAAAGGATGGTATTTTTTTTCTTGTCTTTTGTTTCCATAAGTATGTTCTCAACTTACTAATTACTCTTTACTTTCTTTGTCAAACAGGCCACCAAGCAGTTTCTTGAAGAGATTAACAAGTGGACAGTTCAATACAATGTTTCCCCTCTGTCTTGGAATGTGGCTGTCAAGTTCCTCATGGCCCGGAAGTTTGATGTGCTCCGTGCCATAGAGTTGTTCCACTCCTACAGGGTACGTAACTCAGGGATGGACCAGACCTGTGGCAGCTGGGCTCTCTATGTTGCTATTCTCTCTGCCATACTCTATACAAACAGTGGTTCTCTGAGTGTTTGCCCCACTCCCATAAAAAAAAGGTGTATCAGTATCCAGGAGCCCTGCTTTGGAGTCAGAAAATCCTTCTGAAGAGATACAAAATCTCCCTAAATTTAAGGAAAAAAAAAAGGAGAGGGGGGACAGAAAGCGCTAGGATTAGTTTAAGAGTGAGGCTCACACCTATCTTGTGGATCACTTCATTCAGTGTTTGTTCATTTATTCGACATATATTTATTGTATACATACTATGTTCCAGGTGCAGAGAGTATCATTTAGAAAGAGAGAGTAAACAATTATAGAAATGTTACGATAGGCCAGTACTGGGTTCTATGGAAGCACATTTAGTTAAGAGGAAGCCTTCTTGAAGGAAATGACTTCTAATTTAAGATATGAAGAATGAGTAGGAATCGGACAGGTGGGGGAGTATGGCAGAGAGAACAGCATGTTCAGATACCTAGTGGCAAGAGAGAAATTGAGCTGAGTAGAAATGCTGAGTGGGAATGGGGGGCATGGCAAGAGATTGAGCAGCAGAAGTGAACTAAGCTAGATCAGAGAGTATCTGCTTTTTAAGGGCAGAGAAATTCGTTGAAGGTGTAAACAGCAGAATGACTCGATCAGACTTACATTCTAGAAAGATTTTTCTCACTGTGCTTTAGAGAATGGATCAGAAGGGCTATACTGGAAACAGACCCATTAGGAGACTGTTGTACTTACCGGGAGAGAGACGATTGTGGTATCATTAAGCATGGTGTCAGGAAAGATAGAGAAAGAGTGGGCAGATTTTAGAATTAAAATCAGTTGGACAGGGTTGCTTAAATTGGAAGGAAAGAGGGGTCAAGGGTTTTGGGTCTCTGACTTGAGTGGCAGGGTAAATGGTGGTGGCATTCACTAATTTAGGAGACACTGAAGTGTGGGCAGGTCTGTGGAGAGAGAAGGCCATGAGTTCAGTTTGGCCATGTTAAGTTTGAAGTGCCATTGGGATATCTATGTCCTCTAAGCAATTGGAATATGAGTCTAGGGTTCAGAAAAGAAATCTGGACTGGAAGTAGAGGTTTTGGAGTAACCAAAGTAAAGCTGACTATTGGAGCCTTGCCAATGAGTGAGATCATCCTGGGAGAGTGTGACGAATAGGAAGATGTGTAGGGCAGAACTTCACCTCAGACTTTTTGCTTTGTTTGGTCCAGTATTATTTTAAAAATTGGATTTGAATGCTTTAGGTAGAGCATGCACTCTCTTGTGATCCAAGTACTAAATGCTGTCTTCACTTGCCACTGATCTCAAAAGGCATTTGAATTTGATTTTAGGGTTAGATTGAGGAAGAATGTACACAAAGACCTATCTTATTTTATTCACCAGCATGTTCCTAGTACTCAGCTCAGTGCCTGACAGGTAATAGTTACTCTACAGATATCTGCAGAAGGAATGAATGAGTCAGTGAGTGAATTGAGTGAGCAAATAAATGAAAAAAAAAAAAAAAACACGCACAGAAGAAACTTAGAAAGAGTAGTTGAAGAAATAAGAAAACCAAGGGAGTATTCTCTATCAAAGGTAGAAAATGTCTCAGGAAAAAGGGCATGTGAATGGTCAACCTTGTCATTTAAAAGGGGGACTGAACATGCCCGGTGGATTCGGTGACAGGAAGGTTATGGTCACTGGAGCAGGAGCTCTCAGTGGTGTAGTTAGATTGGGAGTAAATGAGAATGCAGTAGATAGAGTGTGAAGGAACTGAGGGTGAGCTTAAAGAATCTAGCCATGGAGAATGAGAAGAATGTGATCATGGTAGTTACTGTTGGGAGGATGTTGAGGGAGAGATGGCTCCGGCTCCTATTTAAAATAGGAGAGGCCTCTGCAGGGAGGCAGTGTGAGGATGTCTGCTTCCAGACAGTTTTCGGGTACATGTTTTAATATCCTGGTGCAATACCAGTGCTGCTGCCTGTTTAAGAACTTTGACCTTGCACCCTAATGGTACATACTGGTTGGTCTTCAGGGTCAGGATTCTCACTGATTCAGAGGAAAATATCCTACCTAAAGGGCTGATAAGATAGCATTGGACAAGAATTCTGATAACACTCTCTGTTGACTGGAAGGAGGGTTACAAAGGAATTCATGATTCAATTAGTTAACTCTAAAGTCTCTTATCTCTGAGATTTGGTGGTTACATAAAGCTGTCCTGGATATACAGTATTTTCATATTGATTCATCTTGCTGTGCTTTGTTTTTAGGAAACACGAAGGAAGGAAGGCATTGTGAAGTTGAAACCTCACGAAGAGCCTCTTCGTTCTGAGATCCTTAGTGGAAAATTCACCATCTTAGTGAGTCTTTATGGGCCTCTCTTGTACTCTCCTTATTTCCTTTTGTAGCTGTTGTCCTCTTTGTACTTTGTTCTTGGATACCTTATCCTAAATCTAGAGTCTCAATAGTCAGGAGCAGATGTGAAGCAGTTGTGCAGTTTGACACAAAATTATTCTAGTAATAATCGAAATTATTAAGAATCAACTGTACAGTAGATTTAGGAAAGTTTCTTCATTGGTTCATCAAGGTTAGTCAAGGCCTTTGGGCTGAGTATACAGTGTGTCAGAGGCCCATCCTTCCTTTTTTAATGCAATCTCTCCCCACTTAGAGACCACAGCCTTTCAGTTGAGTATACAGTGGTGCTTTTAAGGCAGAGCATAGAAACCATGGTCAGTTGTATTCCATTGTTTTCTCCTGCTGTTTTTTTTTTTTTTTCCCATCCTGCTTGGGAAGTTAGCTAAACTGCCAGTGTAGACCATCCTTTAATCTCTCTGCAATTGAAGAGTTAAGAGAATGTGGTTTTTTCCTACTACAGGAATATGATCCAGGGGGTGCTGAGAGTCAGACATGGGATGATATGAACTTTCTTCCCTTTTTGGAGCAATTGATGCAAGTCAGAGAAGTATTGCCAGCATCTGTTTTCTTCAGATCAAACCTTTGTCCAGAATATAAGAAGCCTTAGTGACTTTGTCATTTTCTATTCAATTTCTAAATGTTTCTTGCTTTTGATTTGCTCTAGAATGTTCGGGATCCAACAGGAGCCTCCATTGCCCTCTTCACTGCCAGATTGCATCATCCTCAGAAGTCAGTCCAACATGTGGTACTTCAGGCTCTGTTTTATTTGCTAGATAGAGCTGTGGATAGGTGAGCATAGACACTATCTTTTAGGCATTCTGTATCCAGATGGGAAAGCGGCAGTCCTTGATTTGATTAAACTCAGCAGTGCCTTCACTGTGCTCCTAGGATGTTCCCTGGGCAGTGCTATGAATAGAAAACATTCCATGTCCTTAAGGGCTTGGCATGTTTCCAGGTACTATCAAGATGGTGGGTATGCTGTATGTTTACCTGCTTGGCTCTATTTTAGGATAACAGAAGCTGAGAAAACCAATTAACTAGCAGTCCTCAGTGTATTGAGAATTACTTAATTGAAAGAGATTGAAGGGGAGATGACCTGTGCTGGTTCTTTTTGCTCATTCTCCCCTGAATGTTGATTTTTGAAACCCCCTGGGGCCTTAGTTTCTTTGTCTGTAAAATAGGAATAATGCCATTTATCTCAGAGGATTTTGAGAATCAGCATTCAGGAAAGAAGAGTCTAAAAGTATAAAGTTAAGCAAAATTATAAACAGGTGCATACGCAGAAAGAACTAGCTCAGGTCATTTCTCCCTCCCCCTCTAAGGTAAATGATATTATTACTGTTCTACAGACAAAGAAACTGAAGCCCCATGAAGTTATGTGACTCTTTTACAGTCATCTCATATTGGTGCAAATAGGTCTAAGACCCTGGTTTCTTCAGTGTTGGCCAAAGCTATTTGTACCCTACTCTGTTGGCTTTCTGCCATACTTTCTTTCTTCTCTGGTGCTTGCCATTTACAGTTTGTTATTGCTCCACATGTCATTGGTTGGTCCTCTGGGTTAGAAGTGATATATCGAGAGCTGAGACCTGAGATAGTGAGAGACAGCTGTGCACAACTTTAGTCATGCTGTGGACTTAGTGGATGGGAATAGTCAAAGGATTGTCTGAGGTGGGGTTCTCTGTCTAGTTTGCTTGTTACTGCTTCATTAATGTTACTTTGATAGTACTTAGCTTCTGTTTTTGATGCTCAGTGGGAGATATATCCGAACCACACACACAGCATTATTATTATTATTATTTTTTTTTTTTTTTGAGGAAGATTAGCCTTGAGCTGACATCCACAGCCAGTCCTCTTCTTTTTGCTGAGGAAAATTGGCCCTGAGCTAACATCTGTACCCATCTTCCTTTATTTTTTATATGTGGGACGCCTGCCCCGGTGTGGCTTGATAAGCGGTGTGTATGTCCACAGCCAGGATCTGAACTGGTGAACCCTGGGCTGCTGAAGCAGAGCACATGAACTTAACCGCTACACCACTGTGCTGGCCCCAGCATTATTCTGAAAAAGAGAAGTTACTAAGGAGAAAGGACCATTGGTCTCAGAGGCCCTGTACTGCCCAATCAGAAGTGTAGAATTTCTCAGATTCCTGTGATTGGTCTTCAGGCATAATTGCCAGAATATAGGTTCCTTTGAAATGCTTCTTTAGCTCAGAAGAATGAATGAAAGCCTCCTTTACCAGAAAATTCAGTATTGGCCTTTCTCCTTGCGGAGCTTAGAGAGTCAGAGCTCTCAAAGAGGCATGGCAGTGGCCAAAGCTTGCTCTTTCTGGTGTGACTATTGGATCTCACAGGAGGATCACACACATAAACATAATTAAAACTTTGTTTTCATGATGTCCGTTCCTTTCTTAAAAACCCTGTGATTCCTCATTATTCAGAGGGTACATATAAAATAAATAAATATGAACCCATTTTTCCAAACAAAATATTCTCACTAGTAAGGTTGTTTTCCCACGTTACCTTGAGCCAGGATGAAAGAGGAGGAAACCCCTCCTCTTTGCTAAATCTTGCCCTTTCTTTAAGGCCCAGCTTCTATGACTGGCCCACTTACCACTCCAACCTGTCATAAATAAAATTCTTTTTACTCTGACTTTAATAACACTTATCAATAATACCAATCACTTTGTATTTAATTATATACAACCTTATGATGTCATTTATCTTAGAGTGTTGTGTTTTTCATCTACCTCTAGATGTAAGCTCCTTGAGGGCAAGGAACCTTCTTTTTTACCATTACATAATGGAAAATTCCCAAATCTCCATAGGTGGAAAGGAAATGGTATCATAAACTTCCACATACCCATCATCTATCTTCTTCAAAGTGATCTATTACCAGTCTTGTTTCATTGATAGCCTCCCCCCTCCCCCTTGATTATTTTGAAACAAATGTCAGAACTTTATTTTAAACTTCTTGGTGTTCCTGGTAGCATCCAGTTCAGGAATCAAACTCAGTAGGGAAGCAATTATTACTAGAGAAATAGCTATTAATGTAAACCTCATATTCTGTACCCCCAAAAATGAAAATCCTATTGCATATGTATTTATTTCATGTGCCTTCACAGGATGAGTGATTTTTAGGAATATAGATCCTGCATCATTATGCACCATAGCTTCTATTTTATTAAATTCTATTTCCCCTTGCAGTGACTTCTCTGTTTCAGTTCCCTGCCACAGGCTGGAGCTGTGAGAGGAAAATCTATAAATTCTGTAAATTTGGCCCTTGATGAGCTTGTGGACAAATGGGAAGTCTCTAGATCTGGATAGTTTACTCAATAATTGTGCCACTTGTTTAAGAACGTCTTTGATCTTGGTGAATCATAATCTCTCTGGGGTTCTGAAAAAAGGAGTCAAGATTTAGCATTAACTGTAACACGTTAGGGGTCATTTGAAACCAAATCTGCTGGAGAAACTTGGGTCTACCTCAGAACTAGAGATTTTTGAAATGCTACATCATGGAGGGGATGCATCTGCCTTTGATTTTGTTGAAAGGGTGAAGATATGGAGGCTTCCAGGAGGTGATACAAAAAAATTAAGATAGAAAATAACATTGAGACCCCTGATTGCAGGATTCTGTTTTGTGCTAAAAATTTTTCTCAATTGTAAATAGATATGAAAACTTGCCATCATCTGTGAATAGTCCAATCAAATAATTTATTTTGGATGTGCAGATCAGAAGCAGATAAGCATCTGGCTTGGTGGAAGAGTGCAACTTTAGAAGTCTTTAGGCATTAAGGAGATTGGACTGAGGAATACTTTTCATATCTTCATATGTTCTTAACTGCATTCTGAGAATAGACTCATCACCTCTTAATTAACTTTTTAAGATGCTTTCCAAAGACCATTTGTGGGTTTGTTTTCTTCCTTCAAGCCATAAGAGACAAATTCACCATCATTGAGCTTAGAGTTTTGTTTTTCAGTTTCTCACAAGGTCTTAAAAATATTTTCTTAGTGATGGGATTCCAGTCCACTGAATTACTGTTCAGTGACCATTTATTTTATACCTATTTGCAAGGACTGTGCTAGGGACTGTTGAGGGTAATGAGGTGAACAAAACGCATTTTTGTCCTCTAGAAGAGAATCAGATGGCCGCACAAAGTGGGAGTACTTTAAGAGCCTCAAGAAAAATCCACAGGAAGATTGATGGGGCTTCAAGGAGATGAAGGATGGTAGTACATTTGATTACAGTTATCAGGCAGATCTTCTTGGAAGAGGAAACTTTTGAGCTGAGCATGGAATGTTATAGAATTTGGATAAGCAGATTCAGAGACATGGGAGAAAACCGTTCCAATTTTGATAACCTAGATGCTCTGGAACATTCTCAAACCTAAGAATTTGACACTTGATAAATCTAACTAAATATGCATCAATAAGTATAATTCTAATTCTAATTCCAACCCATAGGGTTTCCTCCCACACCACTAAGCAATTCTCCAACACTAGCTCGGTGTTCTACAATTCAACTCAATTCTGACACTATCTACCTGGAGGTAGTGTCAGATTCCACAGGTTAAGGGTTTTCAGTCCTACAAAACTGCCCCTCCTTCAGATGCCAGTGGCAAGTCCAGGTTGTCTTCTGTGCTTCTGACCAACAGGCTATAGATTGGAGGTTCCGGTGACCCCCTCCTTGGGTTTGGTGAATTTACTACAGTGGCTCACAGAACTCAGAGAAACATTTTACTTACTAGATTACTGGTTTATTATAAAAGGATGTAATTCAGGAACAGCCAGATGGAAGGGATACATAGGTCCAGGTATAGTGAAAGGAGCATGGAACTTTCATGCCCTCTTTGAGAGGACCACTCTTCTAGCACCTCTTCACATTCACCAACCCTGAAGTTCTCTGAACCTGTCCTTTTGGTTTTTATGGAGGCTTCATTACATATGCATGGTTGATTAAATAATTGGCCATTGGTGACTGAATTCAATCTCCGTCCTTTTCCCCTAGGGGAAGGGAGGGGAGGGACTGAAAGTTCCAACCTGCATCACCTGGTTGGTTCCCCTGGCAGCCAGCCCTCATCCTTAGGTGACCTAGGGGCAGTCCAGAGCCACCTCATTAACATATAACAACAGATACTTTTATCACTCTCCTCACTTAGGAAATTCCAAGAGTTTTAGGAACTCTGTGCCAGGAACAAGGTTGAAGACCAAATATGTATTTCTTACTATAAATCACAGCATCACAATAAGTGTAGCTGATTCCAAAGATAAATCCTCTTTTTGTAAGACCAGTGTTCAGGGAGGCAGTTATTTTGGTCCCACGTGTGTCCATAGTTTCTGTATCTGTGTTTTTGCCCCAGCCTTTCAACCTTCCTTATGTGTCTTATAAATATTTTATTCAATGATTGATTTACAGCTTTGAAACTCAGAGGAATGGACTGGTGTTTATCTATGACATGTGCGGTTCTAATTATGCTAACTTTGAGCTGGATCTTGGCAAGAAAGTCCTGAATCTGCTTAAGGTAAGGCTGTGAAAGGGCCTCCTCAATTCTCCTTCAATGGTTAGGAGACTTTTTTTATTTGGGAGATTTAGGAATGATGTAAACTTTCATCCATTATGTTCAATTTAAAGATCACCTGTAAGTGATGACTAATATCTGCTTCCTCAGAACAAGAAATGATCTTAAAAGTAAAGTGAGAGGAATTAAAACAAGAAATGTACAGGAACATTCTAAGTCATAAAGGTAGAATGACCCTTTCCTGGAGTTTTCTAGAATAAGAATGAATGAATTAACTAGGTAAGGCCAGAGTTAGTGAAAAATGTCAGCTGGCTAGCGCCTTTTAGACTTTTTTGTCTCAGTCTAGTCAGAAATATGTTTTACATTGTGACTTAGTATACAAAAGAATGTGTACACTAACTAGGTACATACATGTAGAGCTATATACATAGATAGGTTCTTAATCTCTTATCTCAAACGATTAGGTCCAGAGGTGTTTTTTAATATTTTAAACTTTAAAAGATAATATGATATGTATGCCACTCTATAATCAAACACATTAATATTTCTGCAATGAAATGTATTATTGTTCATAACGAGTAGAGAAGAATAAAGGCTATAAAATAGGATTTCGGGCCTGATTTTGCTGCCCCATGAATTTTTGCACCAAAGTTAACAAAAGAAACTTAGGGTTTTCAGAGCTGTTTAGACTTCAGAATCCAAAGATAAAGGTGTGTAGATTTGTGTGTACTTATTTATAAAACAGAAAAGTTTCACAAAACAAGCTTTACCCCTACTATGTGCAGTCACTTTGATTACTCAATTCTATTTCATATTTTTAAAATGTTAGTCATGATGTCCTAAATTAATTTCAGGACCTACTGAGTGACAATGTGCAGCTTGAAAAACATTGATCTAGGAGTCTGTGCAGTCTTTGTTCCAGGACCTCACTTGGGAGTACTATGGAACTAGATTTTTAGAGGTGTTTGTATTACTATTATAGCTTTACAGCAGAAAGTATATAAAGAGGGTATTGTATACTGCATGTTGTTTTCTGGGACTTGCGTTTTTCATTCATCATAATATTACTAAAATTCCTACTGTGGCATGTAGCTGTGATTCATTCCTTTTTATTGATGGTTGAAGGATTCATACCTTTTAATTCCTCATCTGTTGATGAATATACCAGTTTATTCATCCACTCTTCTATTGATGGCTCCTTGACTTGTTTCCTGATTTCTGCTGTTATGAGCAGTGCTTCTGGTGCATGTGTGCAAGAGTGTCTCTGGGGCAGTGTTTCTCAACCATGTTTTCGTTATTGCCTCACTAAGGAGCCTTTTTTAAACATTTCCTCCCCTAATTGTTCCTCTTCTAATGAAAATTCTAATACCACAGATGTACTGTATATATCTTTAAGAACTGAATGTATATCTGTACTTTAAACATAAAAAAGAGTATGATGGGGTTTTTTGCCCATTCCCCACTCTGTTCAGAACTAATTTTACCCCCTTGGGGATGATATCACCCCCACTGAGAATGCATGCTCTAGAGTATACATCTAGGAGTACAATTACTAGGTCATAAAGTCTGTAAAGATTCAACTTTATAAAATAGTGCGAAATTGTTTTCCAAAGTGGTTGTACCCACCTGCCATGTGTAAAACTTTCAGTGATCCACATCGTCTTCAACACTTGATAATATCAGACTTAATTTTTTCCCATTCAGTTGAGTATAAAATAGTATCTTGTGGTTTAACTTGCATTTTTCTTATTAGTGAGATTAATTATCTCTTCATATATTTATTGGCCATAGATGCTTTCTTCTTCTGCAAAATGACTATGAGTTTTACCTGTTTTCCTATTGTAGTTTTTCGTATATTATTAATACTAATCTATTTGTGTATACATATGTGTGTGTGTATATACATATACACACACTGTCTCAGTTTATAGCTTGTTTTTTCACTTTTTATAAAGTCCTTTTGACTAACAGAAGTTCTTAATTTTAATATGGTTAAATGTGTCTGTATTTTCTTTTTTGGTTAATATGTTTTGCATCTTAAGTCCTTCCCTATTCCAAAGTTGGAAAAAATATATTAACTATTTTCTTTTTTTTTTTACTGCTCTACCACTGATTCTGCCATGTGTATTAACTTTTTAGTTTTCTTTTTTATTGTGGTAAAATATACATAACAAAATTTACCATTTTAACCACTTTTAAGTTTACAATTCAGTGGCATTAAGTATATTCACAATACAACCATCACCACTGTCCATTTCAGAATGATTTTGTCATCCCAAACAGAAACTGTGTACCCATTGAACAATATCTCCCCATTCCCCCCTCCTCACAGCCCCTGGCAACCTCTCTTCTGTCTCTATGAATTTGCCTGTTCTAGACTCTCATATAAGTGGAATTGTACAATATTTGTCCTTTTGTATCTGTTCTATTTCACTTAGCATGATGTTTTCAGGATTCATATATAGCATGTATCAGAATCAGAATTTCATTCCTTTTTTTCTTTTTTTTTTTAAAGATTGGCACCTGAGCTAACATCTGTTGGCAATCTTCTTTTTCCTTCTTCTTCTCCCCAAAGCCCTCCAGTACATAGTTGTATATTCTAGTTGCAGGTCCTTCTGGTTGTGCCATGTGGGATGCGGCCCCAGCATGGCCTGAGGTGCGGTTCCATGTCTGTCCCTGGGATCTGAACTGGCGAAACCCTGGGCCGCCAAAGTAGAGTGGGCAAACTTAACCACTCGGCCACGGTCCGGCCCCATGAATTTCATTCCTTTTTAAGGATTAATAATATTCCATTATATGCATATACCACATTTTATTTGTTTATTCATCTGTTGGTGGACATTTGGGTTGTTTCCACCTTTTGGCTGTTGTGAATAATGCTGCTATGAACGTTGGTGTACAAGCATCTGTTTGAGTCCCTGCTTTCACTTCTTTTGCGTATATACCTAGACGTGGAATTAACTGGATCATATGGTAATTCTATGTTTAACTTTTTGAGGGGCTACTTTCTGTTAAAAGTTTAAAATTTGCTTTTGTCATTTAAGATCTTAATCCATCTGGAGTTGATTGTTGAGTGTAGTATGAGATGTAGGAATCTGACCTTTTCCCCCCATATGGATAGCTAATTTTTTTCCATTTTTACATATTAAATAGTCCCTCCTTTCCACAACTTAGACTTTCTATTTGTCAATTTTAACAAAGTCTCAATAACCTGTTAGTATACCACAGACAATTTAATAATCATCTAACCGTCTTTCTGTATTTTTTAGGTTGTTTTCAGGTTTAAATAATGCTGTTATGATCATTTTAGCTTTTCCTCTTAAATTATTTTAAGAACATATTTATAAGACTTGTATTATTTGGTTAAAGATTATGAATGTTCTTATATCTCTCTTATACATCACCAGGTTACTTTTCATAAAAGTGGGAAAAAATTTACATTGTAACCAACAAGTATGGATATCTATTTCCTTGAACCATCCCAGCAATGCACTCTGTAATTTTTTTCCTTTTTTGAATTTAGAAATTCTTAAACTGATACTTCCTTTTTTCTCTTGCTTGTTTGTTTGAACTCCTTTAATAACAAAGTTGTATCTTTTTTTCAAATGTTTTTATGCTGTTTGTGTCTCCTCCTTTATTTGGTTCAAAATAATGAAATACTCTATGTTTTGTTGTTGTTTTTGCTATATAACTTCAAAGAGGCTGAAATAAAGTCCTGTTGTTTTAGAATCTATATCATGTTCTTATTAGTGACTTAGTTGCTCTGTCATTGGGAAAAGATAAAATTTTAAATATAATCCCCTACCATCCCTATTCTCATGCAAATTGTAGACAGAAATTTATTTTGAATGCACACATTCAAATTTATTTTGAAGTCTCACACTCCAGACTTCTATTTAATGTGAATTAATTTCCAGCAGTTACTGTGATGAGGATTTGGATTAAAATATGACACTAGAATAAAAATACTAATAATGTTTGACTTCTTAAGTTGCTCTGAGTAGATTTTCTTCATCTTAGTAAATTTCTTAGGATTAATTCTGGTTTTAAATTTTAAAAAGTCATAACCTATTTTAGTTGCCATCATATGGATTCTTTTTTTTTTATTTAGGTTATGATAGTTTACAACATTATGAAATTTCAGTTGTACATTATTATTATCAGTCATCTTATAGGTGCGCCCCTTTACCCTTTGTGCCCACTCCCCACCACACTTCCCCCTGGTAACCACTAATCTGTTCTCTTTGTCCACGTGTTTATCTTCCACATATGAGTGGAATCATACAGAGTTTGTCTTTCTCTATCTGGCTTATTTCATTTAGCATAATACCCTCAAGGTCCATCCATGTTGTTGTGAATGGGACAATTTTATCATTTTTTATGGCTGAGTAGTATTCCATGGTATATATATATATATATATATATATATATATATATGTACCGTATCTTCTTTATCCAGTCATCAGTCAATGGGCTGCTTCCACATCTTGACTATTGTGAATAATGCTGCAGTGAACATAGGGGTGCATAAGTGTCTTTGAATTGTTGATTTCAAGTTCTTTGGATAAATACCCAGTAGTGGGATAGTGGGTATTTCTATTTTTAATTTTTTGAGAAATCTCTTTACTTTTCTGTAGTGGCTGCACAAGTTTGCATTCCCACCAGTAGTGTATGAGGATTCCTTTTTCTCCACACCCTCTCCAACATTTGTTATTTTTTGTTTTGGTTATTGTAGCCATTCTAATGGGTGTAAGGTGATATCTTAGTGTAGTTTTGACTTGCATTTCCCTGATGATCAGTGATGATGAGCATCTTTTCATGTGCCCATTGGCCATCTGTATATCTTCTTTGGAGAAATGTCTGTTCATATCCCCTGCCCATTTTTTGATTGGGATGTTTGATTTTTTGTTGTTGAGTTGTGTGAGTTCATTATACATTATGGAGACTAACCCTTTGTTGGATATATGATTTGCAAATATTTTTTCGCAGTTGGTGGGTTGTCT